TAATTGAATGAATAAGTAATACAAATAGGATAGGTACGGGTAAATGACCACCGAGTGACTGACCGTTTTTGAAATAGAAAGTGATAGTTTTGAATATTATTTATTTTTATTATTATATACCATTCATGATAAATATTTATCTATGGCGTTTTTGATAGACTAGGACATTTAGCGATAGACCGGGATTGATCTCTTCAGCGAGGCGCTTCGTAGAGCAAATTGCCTCCCAAATTCGTCCTTTGCGCGGTATGATATGTACAACGGGTAATGATAGGAATTTATAGCGCGTAGTTTTAAGGTAGGTGCCAGCCTGACATGGCAGAGAAAATTCTGCAGATCTTAGATGCTTCGTTTTCCGTTATAATCTTTAATTATAATCAGTTGGAATCACTAAATATTTTGCGTTAAAATTATTGTTCTAATGGAATGCTATAGGCATGAAATGTACCACGAAAAACCGCGAGCCACGTTGTTGTCAACCAAACAGTATAAATAGCGCGTCTGCTCAGAGAAACGATCGGGAAATGCGTTGGCTTTAGAGTTTAGGATTTGGAATTAGCACCCAGTTCACTGGCTCAGCGTCAGTATGGCTTCAGAGTTTGCGGTCGATATATACTTCTGGCGGAAGCACATTGAGCAATGTCTTATATGTTTGTTTCGAATTTTTTTTGACAGAGAGTGCGCAGCAGTAGAGCTAACAATCCGTCGTCTACGGTGTGATAGGGGCGTCAAGGTTCCATTTTCGTTTCCGAAGCCGGACGCGCTGTCGGGGCTCGGGCCGTAGAGAGTAGTCCGGTACAGCCCGGAAAGTGAGTACACGTGGCAATCCAGCATGGAAGCGTTGCCCTTGATAATCGGCGTCGGTGAGTCGAAGACTTAATTAATTTAAAAAATATTCTTATTATATTATATATATATAATATATTATATGTATATATTATATTATTCAATGTATTATTATGATATTAAAAAATACTTTGTATTGTTATTATCATTATTATTCATTATTATTATTATTATTTGGTTGTTATTAGTTATGTACGCTATTAGATTGTTTATTTTATTAAGAAATGGCGCCGCCCGACCATCGATCCCAATTGTTGATTATAATTTTACGCTGGCGATGGCGATTTCTTGAGCATAGTACGACTGTGTAGACCTCAAACATCGGTGAGTTGATTTACGAGATCAAAATAATTTTCTTATTGTTAATTCTTAATAGTTAACGTATTCTCACTCGCAGACAAAACGCATTGTTTTAGTGAGCCTTTTGATACCGAAGGAGAAACGCAGAAATATTTCATTTGGTAAATAATAAGTATCGTAACTAAATACTAAAAAAGTAATAAAAAATAAATAATTCGCCGGCTGGATAACGATTAAGAGTATCGATTTGTGTAAGAGCATTGGCGTCAGAGTAATTTGTTATAGACCGTGAATCGTAGATTTTGAATTGATTGTCCCGCGGAAGGATCGGCGTGCCATCTTCTTTTATACCGGTGTAGTTTGGTTATTCACTATTCCTCGCGTGTCTAGTACTCCTGGGAACATTAGACCCTACCGTATATGTGTGTCTAATTTACCGTAATCGCTCGAGAGCATGGCGTTATTGCGCTAAATGTATAAGTATAGTACACTGAAAAGTCTTTTTGGATACGTATATATATTATATATATATGATATTATAGTATAGGAAAAAAAAAAAAAATTATAGTCATAATGATCTTATATATCTAGTATATTAGTCTTGCGGTTATAGTAGCTGTATGTATATGATATATATATAGTAGGCTATATCTATATCTATTCTTATAATTGCCTATATATATATATATATATATATAGTATAAGCTCCGGATGCTGAAAGTCTATATGTCGGTAGAGGTGCTTTCGATGCATTAAGTTGGGCAGAGAGTAATAATTGTAGTCTGTTAGATACAACCTTCCACCCAAGACAATACTGCACTTTAGCTGTTACTGTCCGAGCTTTGCACGGCTGGGCTTACCACGATCATGCAGACCAGACTTGATTGAGAATAGAACCTTAGATAGTACCTACTATATATCTAATCATATAACTGAATGGCGCTATTGATTTTAGTTATACTATCGTTATTCGTAGTGTCTGATAGTTCTTATAGTTAGAATCGATCTAGTGGTTCTGCTGGTCTAATTGTTGTTTCGTGCTTTTGAACTTTGTTTGGTTTGTTTCTTAATCTTATTGCCGGCCAATTTTGCGCTGATCGGCGAGTGCTTATAGAAAACCTACATTCAACAAGCAGTTTCTAAGACTTATACAGGGGTAGGATAATATATATTATATGTTAGTATATTATATGTATCATATATTATAGTACATATATAATAGGTATATTATATGTAGTACACATAATATAGTACGCATACCTACAATATGACTAACACACCACATACATACATATAGCCACCTATTATATAGACATGACCGTTTGTACAAACATTGGTGCGTGACTCGCACCAGCACAGGTCTATCAACTATACTCTAGAGCGAGAGTAGAGCCGAGCGACTTGCATGATCGTAGATGCCGTGCTACGAAATTCAGCTCCTACTCTCCGTAAATAGCGTCAGCAGTCGCAGCCCGCCCGTCCCGTTCGAGTTAAGCACCAATATGGGCACTGGCGCGCGCGAGCAGCGTGAAACGTGTGCGCGGCGAGGAAAACGGCGTTAGTTTGACGTGACAGAAGCTGGGACAGCACTTGTTACCGCCGCCCGAACGCTGCCGCGGGAATAAGATGCTGCCGTACCGTGACCTCCTATCTACGATGCCCCCGCTGCGACCTCGCGTGGTGACCTGCTCCCTGTCAGCTCTTTCTGCTGTCGGTGGCTTGTACGTGCGGGCGGGTGGTCGTCGCGCTCACAGAGCGGCGGCGTCGCTGTCCCGGCGAATGGAATCTCGGCCGTCGTCCACCGTCCAGACGCGAGAGCAAGCCGCGTCGACAACGTACAGCTAGACAACTCCGTCTACCTCGTTTGCAGTATAGTTATGAGAAGCCGGACGGTCGACGAGTTCCAGACAATGTTTGTAACAAGTCATTTTATATATATATGTGGGTATATGGTAGTGTTAGTGTGTACTATAAATATATCTGTGTATATAAGATATATTATAGTATGGTAATGTATAGTATATACTATAATACATATAATATATAAATATATAGTATATATATATATATTATCCTACCCTGTAAATAAGTGTCTAGGAACTGGCTGGTTGGAAATGTATGTTTTTTATAGATCGATCAGGGTATAAATGGCGGCAATAAGGATTAGAAACAAACAAACAAAGTCAAAAGCGAACAACAAGTAGACGGCAGCAGAACAATAGTCGATTAACTATAGAATTATAGAAACTTAACATACTACGATAGATATACTGAAAACAATAGCGCGATTCATGTGTCTATCGTTATGAGTATTATATTACGGTTTATTCTTGCATTAAAGTGCTGTCTGGATGAGTCGCGTAAGGCGTGACTGCAGAGTAAGCAGCTTAAAAGTTACTGTATTGCTCTTTAATTTATGCTAGCAAGACTACATTATATATTATAAGTTTATAGTTGCGGGTACCGGCTGGGCCGTGGGTAAATCCGGCGCTACTAATGTCATGAGTATATACTAATGGGACAGAATTAAGAGGATCTGGGTAAAAATCGGACGAATAACCATTGCAAGACATATTAATATTTAGAAATGAGTGGTAATTAAGATAATAAGCATCGGAAGAAACGAAAAACTGTTACGTAATGAACATTGTTATATGACAGGCACAATCGAACTTTAGACACCCTGGCATTATAGTAATGATGGTGTAAATGACAACAAAGCTTATTATACAGAGCATGTAAGGAATGGGCTTGGACTTTTCAATGTTGAAAGCGCTGCTTGATGAAGAGATGTTTTATCGTCCTTAATTCTACCTGGTGGAAATATGTTAGTAGATGATTCCTGTGCGTCTCCAGCTCTTGAGCTGCCCCACGTACAGCTACTGCCTTATGAGATTCGTAGGCATGAATGAAAAGGAATATAGTATTCAGGAGCTAATAATGACGAAATTTTGTCCATTATTAGCTGCTCATAGTATAGATAGAGACACGCAAACACATGCACATTGAAATGAAGAAGATTTTCCTACTGAATCGAAACGTGCGATAGCTTTCGAATAGGTAGCAATGGAACTTGTAAGATCGTAGGATCTCACTGAACCTCTGGCGCTGAGTGAAGCACTAAGCTATCTGATAGACTGGTGAAATGGTGCTGGTTGTGGTGTGTTTTAGTAATTCAGGTTTGCGGTTTCACAATACCAGACCGAATGAGATGAGGGAATGGCGATTTTTCGTCTGTGTGGCAGCATGTAGCAGGTCAGTGGCTGAGCTTGTGTGAAGATTCACGAATTGACTGGGGTTTTCACGGTATTTTTTCGGTGAGTATTAACGGTTTGACAGGTTTTTTTTCATTCTAGGAACACTCTCCCCGGGTATAAGAAGATGGCCTGTGAAATTGCATCCAGATCGCTTGGGCGGTTGGCCGCCTATAGGGACAGATACATACATACATCATACATAGCATACATACATACATACATAATCATCATACATACATACATACATACATACATACATACATACATACATACATACATACATACATACATACTACATACATCAGCATTACAATACATAATACTACATACATACATAATAGTTGTACAACGAACTCAAATGATATAGTTGAGAGTATGTGTGTGTTTATTTATTTATTTATTTGTTTGTTTATTTATTAATATAATATATGAATATATGATAAATCGCGCATTAATTATCCTCCAGTAAATTTTATGTAATGATGATGAATCGATGATTATTAATAACATAAAAAATTATTTTGATTATTGGTTAATAATTTGTAAAATAGTTACTTTAGTAGTTCGTTTGTTAATAATTATTTCTCCGTCTGACAGATGAAGCTTTTTGTCCAGATAGAGCTGCATGACAGTGACAACGAGAACGTGTTCTGCACCATGATCGCAGTGGTGATTAAAGAATGAACCAAACAATCGCACGCGCGTGCGCGCGCACACACACACACAACACACACACACACACCACACACACAGCACGCACGCACGCACGCACACACACACACACAATATATATATATATATATATGTGTGCGCGTGCGTGCGTGCGCGCGCGCGTGTCCGTGTATGACGCGGACGACTAGAACGCGGAAACATGGAAACAGACAGCCACGTTACACATGCATAACCAAATACACACGGCATATAAACAGATGACTACATATAATTACATATCCATACGCACATAAACCCACATCACATATAAATATATAACCACATCCAATTGTATATGAATACATCACTAAATACCTGTCCATATAACCTCCAACAATTACATATCAACATATAATATAATCGAAATTTTGTATGTAATGCCTATGAAAATATTCAAACGCGAAATTTCCTACAGTTATTTTATTCGAAGAAATAGTGATAATAGACGTGAATTTTGTAACGAATTTACCATTAAATGTAATAGCCACTGCTGGAAAGAAAACAGACGTGTGTTCATTTGAAATATAGGTGATATATACTAGTGAATATTGTAGCGAATATAGTAGTAGATATAGTAACGATTATAGTATTATATTTAAATTTGATATTATAGTAATTTATTGTATGATACAACAGCGGAATCGGTAGCACACCTTGTTGTGGAATTTGTAAGAGAAAATTTGTAAATATTAATAATAAATTGTCTAGCGAATGTTGTATGTTTTTGCTTGGGAATGCAATACTGAACTTTGGGACAAACTCAGTAAATGACTTAGCTCATTTGTTTGTGAATAATTATACGAATAAATATAATAGGGAATGCATGCACGCATTCATATATAGAGTCGATGATCTGTCACACAGTAACATGCCTACGTCGTGTCGTGGTTATACGATTAGTGAGTATGGTCGCACCATTCTACTCAGAATTAATTATTTTTTGCCTCGGTAAAATTAATTTAACCGCGCTTAATTTATAGCACTTCGGAGCCGACCTGTTTATGAATAATAATAATTTCTTAATCTAATTAATTTTGAATATGAAGGCCAACCATACACGAGTGCGTGCGGTGCGTGGGCGTGTGCGTGTGCGCGCGTTGTGTGTGTACGTGTGCGTGTGCGTGCGTGCGCGTGCACGTGGGTATGCGTGTGCATATGTGTGTATGTGCGTGTGTGTGCGTGTGCCAGCGTTCGCTTGCGTGTGCCTGCGTTGTGTGGATGTGTGTGTGTGCGCGTGCGTGCGCGCGTGCGTGATATGTGTGCGTCCTTGCGTGTGCGCGCTTGCGTGCGTGCGTCTGTGTGTATGTTCCTGCGTATGTCTATTTCTGTGCGCGCGTGTGCGTCTGTATATATATATGTGTGTGTGTGTGTGTGTGTGTGTGTGTGTGTGTGTGTGTGTGTGTGTGTGTGTGTGTGTGCGCGTGTGAGTGTGTGCGTGTGTGCGTGTGTGCGTGAATGTGTCTATGCGCGATACCATACTATTGTCATTATAATACCCTATACCATACTACTGTTATTATAATACCTTGTAGCTACCAAACTATTGTCATTATAATACCCTATAACATACTATCGTCATTATAATACCATTCACTATAATACCGTGATTATCAGACCCTATACTATACTACTGTCATTTTAATACCCTATACAATACTACGGTTATTATAATACCCTATAACATACTACCGTCATTCTGATACCTTGTATCATGCTACAATAAAGGTCCGAAAATCCGGACTGCTCGGGGATTTGGTCGGCCCGGATTTTCGAATTTTCCGGATTCTTGGGAAGCACTTTTAAAATTCAAATTTAAGGAGGAATAAAAAAGGGATGAACAGGTAAAATGTGATAGTTTATTCATTAGCAAATACAGCATGCTTCATTGATCAAAACGAGCAGTTTTAAAGAGAAACTAGAGCACTCGGAGAGCACAGACCTCCGCCAAGGCAGCTGAATTCTCTCAATGTGAAATTTTTAATTAATTAGTTAATTAGTTAAGTGGAAAAATTAATTAATTAATTGGATCCGGATTAGTGCGAGCGTGCAGGTGGGGGAGGACTGTGGTTGCCCCTTAGCCTGTGGTTGCGTGTTTGTAAGTCTACAGCCAGCGCACCTAGCGGAAGTGAACTGAAACGTGCATGGTAACACACAAACACACAAACCAACACTCAAAGACACGCCGGTGAAAACATAACCTCCGCCAAGCCCCTGGCGGAGGTAATAAAGTCAAAACTTGACAAAAATGTTACCATAAAAAATATTCACTACAAAAAAAGCGTGTAATACTTGAAATTATGTTTAAAAATGAACGCTGTAATAGAAAAACATAGTAAACAAATGAAAGCAAAATTTATTTTATACAAATTAATTATTTTGAGAGTTTTCGAGTCCGGGTTCTCGGGTGGTCCGGATTTCTGGCATCCGGATTTTTGGACTTCTACTGTATCAAATTTATCCCGAATTAGCGTCATGTTTGTGTAACGAGATGAATAAGAACAGGGCCACGTGGCCACGGATTACGTCATCACATTTTGAGGTTTGGCCATTTGCCTTTCCCATCCAGGATCGTGTCCACCGCGTTTAAAATGTTTTTGCAAATGTGATTTAATATATCTCTTCCGTATCATTCGTTTGTCGGTCATTATTGTCACGTGGTATTTCGTCTATTCCGTACGTTATGCAACACTAAACTTTAGGATAGAAATGCTGCTGCTTTGAGTTGGTATTAAAATTCGATTTGGATTGACCAGAATCGCTGTTTCTCTCTCCTTCGCGCGTTCTCTCTCTCTCTCACTATCTCTCTCACTCTCTCTCTCTCTCACTCTCTCTCATCTCTCTCTCTCTCTTCTCTCTCTCTTCGTCATCTCTCTCTCTCTCTCTCTACTTTCTCTCATCCCTTGCTAGCTCTCTCAGTTTCTTCTTACCTGCTTATCGCTCATCGCGCCATACTGCATTAGATAGCGCACAAAATTGTTGTATAGCTCATATCAAAGAGATATTACGAATAGTAAATCAATAAACGTAATATAACTATATTAATACATATACGAATAATAATTAAAATAATGATAATGAACGAAAATAATAATAATAATAATCAATAAAATAATACAAATAGAAATCAGTACGGCTAAATGACCACCGAAGTGAGCTCCGTATTTGAATAGAAGATAGTTTGAATTATTATTTATTTATTATATATAACATTCAGTATAAATATATTCTTGGCGTTTGATAGACTTTTAGTTACATTTAGCATACGATTTATTCTTCAGCGAGCCTTCGTAGAGCCAATTGCTCACACACTTCGTCCTTTCGCGGTATATGATATTACAACCGGTAAATATTAGGAATTATACGCCGTAGTTTTTAACGTTAGTGACAGCCGACATGGAGCCGAGAAAATTCTTGCGATCTTAGATGCTTCCGGTTCTATATATCTTTTAATATAATAGTTAGATCACAAATATTTTTGACGTTAACAAAATCTAGTTGTTCTAATCGCGAATCTATAGCATAAATGTACACGAAAAAACCGGGAGCACGTTGTTGTCAACCAAAATATAAAGTAGCGCGTCTGCCTCAAAACATCGGGAAAAATGCGTGGCTTTAGAGTTATAGGATTGAATTCACCAGTTCATGGCTCAGCCGTCAGTATGGTTCAGAGTTTGCGGTCGATATAACTTCTGCGAGCACATCTGACATGTCTTATATGGTTGTTCGAATTTTTTTGACACGAGAGTGCCAGCACAGTAAGTAACAAATCGCGTCGTCTACGGTTGTGATAGCGGACGTCAAGGCTTCCATTTCCGCTTTCCGCAACGCGGACGCGTTCGGGGCTCGCGGCGATTGACGTGTCCGGTACAGCCCGGAACGTGAGAGACACGTTGCCAGATCCAGGACATGAGCCGTTGACCTTCAATCCGTCGGTGATCGAAGACTTAATTAATTAAAAATAAATTCTTTATTATCATTATATATATATAATAATATATATAGTATATAGATGATTCACTTATTATACTTATGATATTAAAAATACTTTTATTTTATTATCATTATTATTATTATTATTATTATCTATTGTTCGTTATTATTATTCCTATTAATTGTTTATTTTATTAAGAAATGGCGGCCGCCAAATCGCATCCAATTGTTGATTATAAGTTTACCTGCAGAATGGCGATCTTGAGCATACGACTGTTGCCCCCTTTTCTGATAGACCTCAACATCGGAGTTGCATTACGAATCAACATAATTTCTTATTGTAATTCTTATATTAACGTACTTCTCACTCGCACAAAACGTTGTTTAAGAGCCTTTTTGGATCGAGGAGAAACCAAATATTTTTTGGCTAAAATAAGTATCGTTAATAAATATAAAATAATAAAGTCAAATATTCGCTGGATAACGATTAAGACGTATCGATTGTGTCAAGGGCATTGCTGTCAGCAGTAATTGTTAACCAGTGATCGTATGATGATTGTCCGGATCGGCGTTGCCATCTTCTATTATAGTGTATAGTGGTTATCAACATTTCTCGGCGTTCTAGTAACTTGAATTACTATATTTGGATGTCTAATTTACCGTAATCGTGAGTAGCATGCGTATCTCCAATGTTAAGTCATATACACGAAATCTGTTTTGATACTATATATATTTATATATATATATATATAATATAATATATATATATTATAATATATATAATATATCTGCGTATTATGTATGTATATACCTAATATAGATATAGCTATATTAATCGTATATCTTATATATCTATATAATATATATATTATCATATATAATAGTCGGATGCTTGAGTCATATACTGTCGGGTTAGAGTGCTCGTGCATTAAGATGCAGAAGAGGTAACTAAATTGTAGTCTGTAGATAAATAAAAGGACTAATACATCACATTTAGCTGTTTACTCGAATTTTCACGCGTTACACGCATCATCGACAGACTTGATGAAAGAATAAACCTTAATACATCACTATAATCGCTATATATACATGAATGCCTATTGTTTTAGTTATCTATCGTTATGTAGTTCTATAGTTCTGATAGTTAAATTCGATCTATGTTCTGTGTCTATTGTTGTTCGCGACTTTTGACTTTGTTTGTTTGTTTCTAATCTATTGCCCATATATACCTTTGATCCATCTATAAAAACATACATTCAACAGCAGATTCCTAACTTATACAGGGTAGATAATATTATATATATGTTATAATTATATTTTCTATTATATATATATATATATATAATATATGTATACAACATAATATATTACAATCATACCTACAGTATATACCAAAGTACATCATATACCAAGTATATTATATAAATGACCTTTTACAAAATTTCTAACTCGCCAGCCACAGGTCTCAATAACTATACATCTAACGACGATAGAACGGACTTCATCGATTATCCGCTGCCACGAAAATTCATCTACTCTCCGTAAAAATAGCGTCCACATCAAGCCCCCGTCCGTCCGCAACTTAACACCAAACTATGACACTGCCGCGCGCGCGCGTAAAAGATGTCGCAGCGTAGAAACGCGTTAGTTTACGTCACACGCTGCACACTCGCCGCCGACGCTGCCTGCGGATAAGATTGCTGCCGTACCGTACCTCCTTTCTTAACGTCCGCGACCTCGCTGTGTGTGACTCTCCCCTGTTCAGCTCTTTCTCTGTGTGCTGTACGTCGTCGGTGGTCGTCGCCCTACGCGGCTCCGCTGATCCGGCAGATGACTGGCCGTCGTAACACCGTCAGACGCGAGCGCAAGCGGCCGTCGACAACTACCAGCCTACGCAATCGGTCTACTCTTACATGTATAGTTATGGAGCCCAGATCGACAGTTGCAGACACAAGTTTTACAAGTCATTATATAGTTATATGTGGATAGTATGTATGTGTATTAAATATATATGTGTATAATATTATAATATATATGTATATATATATATAATACATATAAATATACTATATATGTACTATAATATATTATCCTACCCCATGTAATAATCGTCTAGGAACTAGCTGTAAGATGTAATTAATTTTAATAAATCGCGAATCAGGTATCAAAATCGGCGGCATAGATTAGAAAAAAACAAAGTCAACAGCCGAACAACAAATTAGACCAAGCAGAAAATAGGAATCGACTTTATCACTATACAACTATAGAACACATAACATAAAGATAACTAAACAATAGCCATTCTGCGAATATATATCGGTTATAGTATTTATATACAGATTATATTCTTCCATTAAAGTCTGGTCTGTGATGATCGCGTAAAGCCGTGAATCGAGTAACAGCTAAAGATTATGTCTTCAGTCTTTAACATTTATCTACAGACTACAATGATAATAGATATTCAATATAATTACTAGCTCGGCGTACCCGCTGGCGCAGAGGATAAAATCGATGCTAGAACTAAAATTTCATATTCCTATAAAACTAAAATGGAGACAGAAAATAAAAAAGAAAATTGAAAAAAAAAAAAAAAGATCGAAAAAAAAAATCAGAAACAATAAGCGTTAGCAGCGAAC